CCCCCTGCTTCATGGAAATACGAACAGGTTCAAGTGCCTTTTTAGACTACTTTCATTCTCCAAGATGATGAACACCTTTCAGATAAACGAAATGTCTGCAAGTCCAACTCTGGTTCTTCCCTACTAGTAATTTCCTCTCGAGTTGTAGCCGAAAAGTTTCGATTCAAATTCGAAGCTTCCCATTCCAAGATAACGATAAAACTATCATTTGTGAAATTGAATGAGACTTCATCAAGTTCGACCGTGACTACGATTCAGCGATTCGGGACAGAACCGAAATTGAGAGCTCTGTACGCCAGATGAGATCTATGTGTATTTGATTTCCTGGAAAATAATGAGTTCGGAGACGCGGCACAGAACTGGCGGAAAGTTTCTCTCGACTCCGTTTTCTGCGGTGTATTTACACATATTAATGGTTTCTGATGAACCGGAACGGTGAGTTGTAGAGTGTGCTTTTTGGCACTCTGGCGATTTATTCTGTTGATAGAATCGAATGTGTACGTCTGTGATTACGTGATATAGTTCAGTTGTGGTCTGGTCCGTATTCAAATTTCGAACAGCTGGCATTGAAGTCTTATGACACCCTTATGACGAAGCTTACAACGTCTCTATACATTTACAGGTTTGTTTATGTTCATTAATTCATTCAAATGAGTAATAGCGAGCTTACCTTTTCTGCTAACCTTCCAAATAAACAATAACATATATTATGTCCAGCTATATAAATTAGTGTTCTATGGGTTCTTGGTTTGATGGATCACTGGTAACACTGTGGCAGTGGTCATCAGAAAAGTAATATATGTAAAAGTTTATTGGATTAAAATTATCTTAAAATTGTCTAAAGTCTTTTTCTGCCCATGAGTCGGACATAACATAATATCTAGGCTTGAAAAGAAATAAATGCACAGAGTATGAGTGGGAAAAAAATTGTCAATCCTAACCTGAAAAACAACGTCTAGGATGAGAGTCAAGGAATCACAAAGTATCCAGCATGATGTTCAAAAAAAGTTCATATGTTTCTGACGCTGATATCGTCTTCTAAAAGACATACTAGCTGCAGTCTCTCTCAGTAGTTAACCATATAGTGAGTTGTAGAAAGCATTAGTTGAACACTAGTGTCTAAAGCGGTTGTTGAAAGCCGAAAGGTATCAGTTCTATGATGCTCATCAGGGTCCAGATGATGTGAGATCATATTTTGAAAAATTGAAAGGCTCAGTAGAGTACTGTCAATTTGGAAGTTTCCTCAATGATGCTCTTCGGCATAAATTCGGGATAAATTCGAAACTGTAGTGTAGACTTCTAGCCGGAGACGAACTTAATTATGAAAAAGCGGTTGCGGTATCTATGAAATTAGCAGAGAACAAAGCAAGAAGTATGATCACAGAAGGATATGTTGATAAAATACATCATACTCGGAGTCATAATTATTCCAATAATAGTAGATCATTAGTACCGACTAGCAAAAGTTTCTCAAAGTTTCAGTCGCTAGCAAAAGGAATGAAACCATCAAAAAGTCCACCCTACCATCCTCAAAGCAATGGTTTGGCAGAAAGAGGTGTAAAGACTGTGGAAAGAAGTTAAAAAAAGACATTATTTTTCGAAAAAGGTGAAAATGTCAGTGAAAGTACAATAATTAGTAGACTGTCTAACTTTTATCGAAATACTCCTTCTTCAGTGACCGAATTAATACCTTTTCAGAATATTTTCAAAATTATGTACAAAGCAATGAAAGAGCAGACTTCAAAACGTAACAATTTCTGTCAATCGTTCAAATCGTGGGGCTCTCCCTTTTTGAGCTTTTTGACTTTTTCAATACGTTTTAGATCATCAAAAACCACATGGGAGCTGACGTGCAGTTCATCCGCCATCCCACACAATAAATGTGATGGCTCAATCACCACCAGGTTCCTCAAATCTTCGTCCTCGATTACTATAGAAATACCACTTCGCAGCTAAAATCTTTTTGTTATATTCTCCCACGAGTTTTTCAAAACACAACACAACATTAAAATGGTTTTTATTCCCACCAAGAAGATATAACAAAGCCTCAGGTCGTATGAAGACAAAATGGATCCATTATCAGCAGCAGGGGTTCATTCCATACCGTGTACTTGTGGGAAAGTGTATATCGGAAACACCAGAAGATCCATAGGAACAAGGTTGAAGGAGCATGAAAAAAACGCAAACAGCATGAAGGCAGATAGACAAAGGTCAACGGATGTTATTGACAATTTACTTTATCCAGGTGCAATTATTATCACACCGGGCGACCTGAATGAACATGAACACGCTTTAAGAAATTTAGATAGATGAATAGATGTTTATTTGACTAAGTATATGAATGAAACATCTGTAGCAAGTCCGGTGATAAGTCAAACAGTTATAATCGAACAATACCTAAATAAGATAGAAATCATTAACACAACATTATAACGAAAACACAAGGCACCCAAAAGAGCAACAATAATTTTTTTAAATACATTATTACAAGCAGCACTATTCAAAATACAATAAATTTTTGAAAGATATTATTACACGCACTTTGGATTAAAAGATAAATCCTGGCATTACCATGGAAGCAGTCATATATTCATCTACACTATGAATGCCTTTATCAATGAGACATTATTTTATGCCCTTTTTAAAACGTGTCTGTGTAAAACGTTCTTGACTGTAGTTGGCAAGATATTGTATAGATTAACATCTAAGGAATTCTTGAAAGATTTCTGTAGATTGACTTTAGCAGGTTGTATAAGATTAGCACCACGTGTTTCATAGTTATGAAAGTGGGAGTTAGTTAAAAGAGTGCCCTTAATTTAATGTAACTCCAGCAGTGACTAAAAAATGTACATCGATGGAAGAGTCATGATTCCCAATTTTTTGAATAATGGACAACATGTGTCCCGATATTCAGCATTAGAAATTATCCTTATTGCTTTTTTTGTGTTACAATTATCTTTTCAGCAGAAGTAGCTTTACCCCAAAGAAGTGTCCCGCAGCTAATACGCGAATGGAAAAAGGCATATTAGACAGCGAGAAGAGTGTCAATAGAAACAAATTGTCTCAATTGCCTCAACAAAAACAGATATTTGGATAATTTCGTATTTAATTCATCAATATGATATGTCCAACAGCCCAATTACCAAGTAATGGTAATTATGAGGCATAACTTGGAAGAAAATGTAATTAAAAAATATTATAAATAGGAGAGGTCCCAGCACAAATCCTTGCCGAACACCGTTTACTATAGGCTCTAAATTAGACGTTCTATTGTCTCCTAGGTCGACATATTGCTTTCGATTTTGTAAATACGATGTGAGAAGGGAGAGAGCAACACCTCTAACCCCATATTCATTCATTTCATGAAGTAGTAAGTGGTGAGAGACATAGTCGAATGCCTTACTCAAGTCGCACAGAGTTATAGCGCTATGCTGACCATTCTCAAAGCCGTCGACAATGTTTCTCACCACACGAACAACTGATTGTACCGTAGAGCAAAACTAACGGAAACCATACTGATCAGGATTCAAGACATTGTTATTTTCAAAAAAGAAATATAATCTGTTTTTGATTAACACTTCAAATATCGTCAGATATCGGCTCAATAGAGATGGGTTGATGATTTTCAATGATATTTTTGTCACCCTTTTCAAAAACTGGAATGACCATACTGATTTTTTATTTATCTGTAAATGCTCCTTCACTTATGCAAGCATTGGACAAATAGGTAAGTGGTTTTACAATTAGATCGCAAATTATCTTAATTATTTTACTGTAGAGGTTATAGATATCGATACAATTAGAGCTTTCAATTCGTGAATAGCATTATAGACTTCCGAATTGGTAACAGGTGTGAACAAACGAACTTTATCCTAAGGCAGATACAGGTATTAGCACACCAAACAACCTGAGTAGTCAACATAAATATTCGTTACGCAGCAGTAATATCAAGTCATCGGAGATATTAACTGAAGATGTATAAACCTCTGAAGAAGCTACCCACCTGCGCCAGCGAAACGTCAGGAAGAAATTCCAAAAATCCACGGCCTTCAAACCCGAAAAATCTAATACTATCTGGTTGATTTTTCGGGCTGTTTCGGCAGCACTTGGATTCGTATAGAAAAATTGGCCTACAATCGTTTAACGCAATCATAGAGTGATGATTTGAAAAGGATTATTTTTGTGTTGAGATTTTCAACCACATACACATGAACACAATTTTTCAATCCCTGTTTCTTGTTTCCCGATTTTCTTTGAGTAAACGTATATCTCAGATCATTTTGAGTTTTGAAAACTGTTCGAACATTGAATTTAGAACCGATTTCTCTCATATCTCCGAAAAGATCAGTAAAGAAAAGTATAACATTCAAGATAGTGACTGTGTCTGTAGATATTATGGTACTGGTTTCCTGATAAAGGCGATATGGTTATTGTTTGGATTTATTTTCAATTTTTTCTAGTTTTTTGGGATACCTTCAATGAAGTCAATTTGATTATTAAAAATTTGTGTTTTGGATGGAACCTGATTAGTTCTACCAATATACAGTGTTTTATTGATACTTTATTTCACACTAATTTGACGTTAAAAGGAAAGAGATGCTTATCAGTATGTGAGTCTTTTCTTTGCTCAAACGATAGCTGTTTGCTTCATTCTAGAGTCGGTCCTTGACTCAAAACAACTACGTCCGCTTCTTTGTAATTTTAATTAAAGTAGAAAAATAATAATAACAACTACTCCACCAGCAACATGAAGGAATGAATTCATATCCGTGACGGTAGTTCGACGTGGGTGCTTCGTTCACACGTTAAAATGTAAGACCTTGTTGGTCCTTAGCTCGCACAAGTTTCGCCTTCTGAGGGTTGTCGTTCATAGGGGTGCGATAGCTGGTTAACGAGAAAAAAACATATTATACAAGGGACTCTTGATCTCACCGCAAAAGTTATCATTATCTTCCTAGTCGCAGTCACAGTAAAAATAAAAAAAATTCATTCTTACTCACCTTCCATGACTGGGAAGAGGAAAGCCATCCAGGTTCCATGATATTTGAGGAGTGGGATTTCCGGACGCACTGCATTTGAGAGAAACTGCAGGTCCTGGTTGGAGCGTCTGTTCTATGAAGCTGTACAGAAGAATTGGTGGAGCATCTGGAATCAATAACATATATAATGTAGTCCTTTATTGAATTGTTCATATACAGGCTGATTCACGGTGGATGGCACATTAGACGTTTCTGGTGAACCAGACAACGGATCACTTTGAAAATTTAATGGAGGGCATATTCGGACATTCTCTAGCCAACTAAAATATTTTCGACAATGC